AGAATCTTCTATTTCGGGTCAATGCTTTTTATATTACGACCAAAGATACAGAGAATGATTACAGTTTGAAGCAATCACCATTCTCGTTTTTCCAAATCGGTAAGTTTTACGATTCTTTTGTATTAATCAATCAATTTCACCTCATCTTGAACTATTTTGCGTCAGTTCTTTGAATTTTATGTAAATCTTAATTTTGAATTTACATCTTATGTGGTCTGATCTGAATTTAAGGCAATCGCTAGCTATTGCTCTTTCCTTTATCTGTATAGGAACATTTATATTTCACAATTTATTAGGTTGAATTATGATTATAGATAATTCAGCTTTACATCGTTGTACAAGGGGCACGATTATAATTTAGGTTTTCTTGTTTGTGCGCCTAATTTTCCGTCCAAAAAGCTATTTTTAATTCAATTTCAAGGTTATAGCAAATTGCCCTTTACAAGTCACATTCAAACTTAGAGATTTTTTCAATGCCTTAAAGAATGAAATAGAGGTGAAATTCTCCCTTTCTAGCTTGGTTGATCCATGATTTACCTTTCACATATGCCTATTTTCGTTTTCGAAAAATGTATGGATCAATTTCGATTCTTTCTTATTCTCTTGATTATTTTGTGAGTGTTTTTTCTTCAGCAAATTTCCAGGATGAATATATGAATGGGTGATTTTGTAGTTGTAATATATCATTTTGATTGAGTTTTTTTTTCTTTCATTTTAATTGTATCATATGCTCAAGCAAAAGAAAAAGTTCTCATTTTTTGTTGAATGTTTGTAAAGTGACAGCTAGTTCTTGTATTATGGCGGATATCATGTTTAAGGTTTCTGCTTTATTTATGCTGATCTGCCATTCATTCTGTTTATCTGGATTTTGCTAATTGCATTTGTAGTGCCTTTTGACTCAATCTTCTTATTTTTAAAAATATTTATGTTGTGCGCAAGGATTGTTGGTTGCTGATATTGTAACTAATTTTGGGTTCCTCCTGATTGACAGGTGAAGTGCATATCTGTGTGCCAATAAGAGATATCGGGTGAAATGCAGAACTCAACTACCAGGGCATATGAGAGTTCTTCTTCCTCAGGAAATAGCAGCAACGATGCTGGTGATTTTGAATGTAACATCTGCTTTGAATTGGCACAAGACCCTATTGTGACACTTTGTGGCCACCTCTATTGTTGGCCATGTCTCTATAGATGGCTACGGCTTCATTCACAATCCCATGAATGTCCTGTTTGTAAGGCCCTTGTACAAGAGGAGAAGTTAGTCCCTCTTTATGGAAGAGGGCGGACTTCAACTGATCCCAGATCAAAACCGATTCCTGGGGTTGAAATTCCTAACAGGCCAGCAGGGCAAAGACCTGAAACGGCTCCTCCGCCAGTATCAAATGCTTTTCCTAATCTCGGTTTTGGTCACGTGGGAGGATTTTTTCCAGGAGCAACTGCTAGTTTTGGTAACTTTACAATGTCTGCTGGTTTTGGCGGGTTGTTTCCATCGTTGTTCAGTTTTCAGTTTCATGGATTTCCCAGTCCAACTGCATTTGGTGCAACATCAAATTACCCATTTGGATATCCTCCTGCATATCGTGGGGCGAATGTTCATAATGCTGCACGGCCTGCCCAAGGACAGGCAGATAACAATCTGAAGCTTATGTTCTTACTTGTTGGATTTCTTGTGTTCCTATGTTTGTTTGGTTACTGAATAAACTTTCCTCTTCATCTCAGACAGTTGGTTCCTGATCTAACTTGTAGTAATCATTCTTAATGGTTGTAAATATGTTGAATTTTTGCACTCATGATAAAGTTGCTACAGAAAAAGGAACTGATGTGCTTATCGGATCCTGCACTTTGCCTTTTCTGTGTAACATATTTTTTGCTAGCCACATCGCCTAGTTTTTCCTTTCGCTGCGGAAAAAAGATATCCAGGAAGCCTCTGGTCGAATATTTGATTTATCTGTACATATATATAGCATTTATTTTATGCCTCATTCCCGGTTAGCCATTTTACATTTTTTTTTTTTGTTTTCCAAGTTGGCGTTTGATACCAATAGGGCCAAGCGTGGCTCCTCTTGCGTGATAGTTGAATTCAGCAGTAGTTTATGATTTGCTGAAGGAATGAGTTATGAACTTATAATAGTGATTAGTGGGACAAAAATTATGGCTTCTTCTCGTGGCTACATCGTTTTTGTGTATGCAGATTGAATGTGATTGTGAAACCTTGTCGGTGAAAGATGAGAAATGAGAAATGACAGAAGTATCATCTGCTACAAAACTGTCTGACAATAGTGTAGCACTTGATTATGTGGATTTTTGCGGTTTGTATGTTGATACAGCAAATGAGAAAAAGACTTGTGGTTTGGAGAATCTCTCTTGCTGGTCTATTAGATTACAATTCCGCGGCCTGATCCATAAGTCACATTTTTGAGCTCGGAACTAAAATGTGGTTCTTTTGAACTTAAAGAACCAAAATGTGTAGAAAAAAAATAGAATTTTTACCTTCTATAGCAAATGTTAACACCTTATTTATTTTAAATAAATACCATTTTAAAAAATTATATTCTACAGATACCTTTTAATGTTTATAGCAAAATATCTAATTTTGGTTACCTCCTACCCCTAAGCCACTAAATACGCTATTCAGTTACACTATTTTCTTTCTCTCTCTACTTTGATATATGCTATTCTCTTCCCCCATTCCTGAAAAATAAAAATAGCAACGAGGACGTTCAAGAAGTTGTGGTGGAAGTGGGGCTTGATGAGGAAACCCTATTGAGTTATCCAAAGTTGTTGTATTTAGAAGCTAAGGTCAATCACAAGGATTCAACAGCGACTTGTTGCTCAATTTGTTTGGCGGATTACAAGAACAGTGACATGTTAAGGCTATTGCCAGATTGTGGGCATTTGTTTCACTTAAAATTATGGCTGAGGTTAAATCCAACTTGTCCTGTTTGTAGAACTTCTCCATTGCCAACACCTCAATCCACTCCTCTGGCTGAAGTTGTTCAGGATTTTTGCTCGACGGCGGTTTCGCTGGAAATTAGGGTTTGTTCTTGAACAAAGACGACGGAGTTTGGGGCTGAGCAACTTGATTTTCTGTTAATATATTTCAATGTATTTTTAATATATCACGCTGTATTTTCATGTATTTCATTGTATTTATTGTCTTTTTTTTTCATAGTAATTCAATGTATCTCGCTGTATTTTATTGTATTCACTGTCTTTTTTTTCATTGTATTTCAATGTATCCCACTGTATTCTGTGTATTTCATTGTATTCACTGTCTCGCTATATGCCATGAATGCATTCATATGTTTTTTTAATTAATATAATTTATGTATTCAGATGTATATATAATTTCTCTGAAGATTGCTATACTTTTAGGGTATTTTTCGGTTGAGAATCTTTTTTATAACTGGAAATACAAAATTTGTGTGTTATAATTGAGTTTGTTGAGTTATATTAGGAGTCTATTATGTT